TTTGCTAAAACCAAACATTCCCAAACTGCTGATATAAAGTTCATTCATTCATACACATTTATAGATTGGCGTTGCTTTATTAATGAAACATTGCGAGTAATTTTTGTTTCTCCATTCCGGCCAAGATATCACCTTCCAGAAGCGCTGGGAGGAAAATGAAAAAGTTCTTGTTTTTTGTTTGGTATATTTTTACGACATAAACATATAACTTTTTTTATGACATGGCCTTAACAAAACAATTGTCTACTTGCCACGTTTCTTTTTTTCGAACATCAAAGGAAAAAGTTAAGGCTAGGAGAAAAAAATGTTGCCATAAAAAAGGCGGCGGCAATTTCCTTGAGACCATAGAATATGACCACATCCGAAGAGAGGAAGTAAGGAAGAGGGGCTGCCCCTATCTCATCTAGTAGCCACATCTTCAATGGCAAAAACCATAACATCTAGATATTGTTTATGGACCCGGTGGTGACTTGATTTTTTTTATTTCAACCCAATTCAAAACATTGGCAAATCAAATCGAAACGATGGGGAAAAAATTAAAGACGAAATCAATTTTATGATTTCTTTTCAAATCCGAGATATGAAAAAAGATCTCTTCTACATTAAAATGAAGATATTTTCTATGGGGGATTACAGGTGAGTACAGATAAATGCAAAAACGGGAGTGGGATGTTGTTGAAATATATGTAATTTCAAAAAAAAAAAAAAATAAATAAATAAAGTAAAATAAAATAAATAAATTAATAAATAAAAAATAAAATAAATTAATAAATAAAATAAAATAAATAAATAAATAAAAAGAAAGTAAATAAATATATTAAAATAAAATAAATAATAATAGATTTTTAATATTTTTCTCTATTTTTTCTCTATTTTTTTTTTTTCAATTTTATCATAGCAATCAATTATTGCATATTCCACCCATCTGAAATCCTGAAGATATAATATTCTTTCATTACTGACATCTTGCCATATCTATGTTGCCTTTATCCATGTTTGCCTGTATTTCAAGGCAACTTTATTTGATTTTTTTTTTTTTTTTTTCATTTTCAAAAAAAGCCACCAAATTGCTTGCCACAAAAGAAGACCAACCAACCAAACAACAACATCAATATTACTACAAAGATGTGAGAAACTATTAAAAAGTCATAAAAATTGTATAATAAAAATTTACCACAAGAGCAAGCGGTGGCGGCTTCAGCAGCAGCAGCAGTTGCCGCGGTAGCAACACTTAGAACGCCAGCAAAAATGTGTTGCGCTATTTCAAGGTGGTATGCAGATGAAGAATTTCAAATGAGAAGATGGTAGTCCACCAGTTCGGCCATAAAACTCTATTCTAGCCATAGACCGGCGAACACTTTCAATTTCTTTCGATTTTTTTTACGGCTACGTTTTCGTTTTATGATTAATGGCAATAAAAACTGATTTGAATCAATTTAAAAAGATTTCATAAAAAAATAAAAGAAAAAATTGAAATTACTTGGAAATAGTTTTTTTTTCGTTGTTGTTGGAGATTATTAAATGGAAACCATAAAATCTGGAGCAATATAAAAATTATGAAATCAATAAATGTAACAGTGGCATTATGTGATAATAAAAATAAGCCATAATTAAAAAAAAATAGTTTTTTAAACTATTTAAAACAAAAAATTGAAGACAATTTTATGGTTCTATGGGGGCCATATAACATTTATAAACAAAGGAATTAAAATTAAAAAAATATATACTGTTACAACAAAAAAAAAAAAAACTATTACGAATATTTAAACATTTTTTCTATTGGATTTTGATTGCTTTCGGGATATGTTATTTAACTTTACATGAAAAATATTGAGAATTTCGAAAATTTTCTATTTTCGATCTGGGATTTGTCTTCTTTTTAAACCTCCCCCTAAAAATGTTTTATTTCGGAATTGGATCGCTCTTGTGTTATATTATCTAAGTTTATATGTGAAATATTGAGAATTTTGAAAATTTTCTATTTTCGATTTGGGATTTGTTCTATTTTTTAAACTTCTCCCTGAAAATATTTTATTTCGGAGTTGGATTGCTCTTGGGTTATATTCTCTAAGTTTATATGTGAAATATTGAGAATTTTGAATTTTTTCTATTTTTGATTTGGGATTTGTTCTATTTTTTTTAAACCTCTCCCCTTTTGTCTTCTTTCCCCATTTTTCCCCCAACTATATAATTAAAAATATTTCATGCTAATTCCAATAGGTGTTGCCCGGTTTCAGGCCTAGTTAAGTACACCGCACATTAATCCCACCTTAATTTTTTTTTTTGAGGTCTGGTGATATGGAAATCTACAGGGCCATGGTTTGCCTTCCATCTTCTTCGGCGGGTTGCTGTCTTAATGTTAATACTACTATTACATTTAATAATAGACCTCAAAACAAAAAAAAAAGCACACACGAGAAGGAATCCCTAGTAATATCTGGCCCACCGCAATGACCAATAACAAAAACAAAAGCAACAACACTAACAAACAAAATAAGGCCTAACATTTAATTTAAAAGGCGTGACTTGGGGCATAAAACAAAACAAGAAACGTAAAATAACTACAATGTTAACAAACAACAACAACTAAAAAGCAATTATAAAGGAATTAGTCTTCACAAAAACAACACACACACACAAACTCACACTCTTTTGTATCACACAAGAGCTTACCAATTTAAAATTCAAATGAAATGGAAAAAAAATCTTCTAAAAAAATTCTTATGTATAATTTTTTTTTGTCTTATTTCGTTTTCGTTTTTTTTTTTTTTTGCAATCAAGCTGTCTAAACTGACTGTTACAGGTCGTTAGAGGTCACCACCAGCATTTAATACATTCATAATATAATTACTGATTAAATGCTATAAATAATATTATTTATAAACACATACATCACCATCACAAAACAGAGACCGAGCTAAAAAAACGAAAATGAGAAAAAAAGATGGACAGACCCCGCCAATGCGGTTGGACAGTTGAGACAAGTTGAGAAATCAAGCTTAATATTTCAAAATGTCGATCATGATAATTGCTTGAAATAATAACAATAATGCCTGAGAATTATTGCTGTTTGAAAAAATTACAGCAAAAAATTTTTGCTGATAATAAAAATGACACGCGGAATTGTTGTTCTCTCGCTGAGGTTTGGCGTGAGATTTATGCCAGCAGCAACAGCATTAAACTCAGGGTATGAGCATGTGAAAAGATCAATATTTGTTGTTGTTGACAGTAAGAGTAACAAGACAGTGGAACCATAAATAGATCGTACAAAAGATGGTGGGGAATTAGGGTGCCAATGGAGACAAAGGGTCCATTCGGAAGTTGAAGGTCCTATTAGAGATTGAAAGAAATATGAGTATTGAAGTTGAGTATCAATAGAATATTATTTTAACTCTGTTCCACTGTGATAAAAATGAAATGAAAAACTATACATTTAGACAAATTCATCTGTATTTTGATCCACTGTTTACATAGCTTCATTTTTTCCCATACACATATTTATTTAAATTATTTTAAATAATTGCGATTAATAATCATTCCAATCACAATGATCGACTGCTGTGTTGAGTTAATACATATGTTTATTCGTCAGTCAGACAGTTAGCTTTTATTGTTGTTGTTGCTGTTGCTATTACTGTGGGACCCATTTTGCCCACTGTATCGTAATATGATTTATGAGTTATAGGCTTTATTAATGGCAATGCAAAAAAAAAAAAAAACAGAAACGGAAATTAATATTGAAATCATTGGGCAAACAGTAGCCCGGTAATTGACATGACACAAGTATTTGTCATTTTTCATAGACAAATACAACAGACAGACTTACACGTGCTTAAGAAAGCAGAAAGATTGAATAAAGAAATTAAAATAAAAAATAGAAATTGCCAATTTCCTTGTAATTAATCATAAAATTGAAGTGGAGCTCAGGGAAGAATGATATTGAGATGGAACTTAAATAAATATTTGAAACCATCTAAAGAGGATCAGAAAAGTTTGGGCCTTGAAAAATAATGAGTAAAAATATCAAAAATGGCATCTTAAAAATATTTTTCATTTAGTAGTCATTGGCCCAATATTTTTTGGCTCTAATTTTTTTAATTTAATTTATTTTTTTTATTTTGTAATTTTCTTAGCCCTTGTAAAATTTAATTTCCTTAAAAGTAAAAAAAAAATTCATCCTTGACAAATAACAATTAAAAACATCAAAAAAAAAAAAAAATGCATTTCAAGAAAATTTTCAATTTTCCATCATTTTTTTAATTTATTTTTTTTTTTTTGTGTAATTTTTCTAGTCCTAATAAAATTTATTTTTTAAAAATTAAAAACAGTGAAATTTGATCCTTGATAAATAAGGTTTAAAAATATCATCTTGCACCTTGTAAATATTTTTCATTTGGTAGCCTAATATTTCCTTCTATCATTTTATAATTCATTTTTTATTTTATTTTTTTTTTTGTAATTTTTCTAGCACTAATAAAATTTGATTTTCTTAAAAATTTAAAAAAAAATTAATCCTTGACAAATAACCATTAAAATCGTCGGAAAAAGGCCATCTCGAAAAAATGTTTTTATTTGAAAGCCATGGGTTATTTATTTTTATTATTTTTTAAATTTATTTTTCTATTTTTTAATTAATTTTTTTTTTGTTATTTTCCTAGCCCTATTAAAATTTAGTTTTCTTAAAAATTAAAAAAATGGAATTTGATCCTTGACAAATAACGATTTAAATCGTCAGAAAAGGGGCATTTTGAAAAATATTTTCATTTGAAAGCCATTGGCCCAAAAATGTTTATTTATCATTTTTGTTTATTTTAATTATTATTATTATTATTATTATTATTATTATTATTATTATTATTATTATTATTATTATTATTATTATTATTATTATTATTATTATTATTATTATTATTATTATTATTATTATTATTATTTTGTAATTTTCTTGGCCCATATAAAATTTAATTTCCTTAAAAAATGAAATTTGATCTTCCACTTACCAGGGTCTGATGTATCTAGGACAGGTGGTTGTTGAGATAAAGGACCAGGTGTACTACCAGCGCCCGGCGATCTAGCATCTTCGTTCATGGCTCCACCATATGATAAAGATGAACTAGGAGGCCGCTGTAATGAGAAAAGATTGAAGAAAATTTAATTAAAATTTTGAATTTTATTGCAAAAAAAAAGAAATAAATCAATAAATATATAAAAATAAAAAAATATATAAAATAATAAATAAAATTAAAAATTTCCAATTTTAGTTTCTTTCTTTAAATAAATTTCATAAAATTAAAATTAAATAAATTATTACTAATTAAAAGTGTAGTATTTAAAAATTTCCAATTTTAATTTATTACTTTAAATAAATTAAAAGTAAGTAAATTCCAAATGAAATCAATATTTTATTAATTATTAACAGAGAACATACTTTTTAATAACCAATAAAAATAATTTATAACTACCAAAAGGTAATAAAAAATTTTTACCAACACAAAATCCCACTTCTTATTCAATTGAAAAATAATTAAAAAAAAATTCCCAACAATTTAAAAACCATAAAAACCCCAACAACAACACCAAATTCTATATTATGTAAATTCGTTGTAATGTTCGGTAAATTAAAAATTTGTTTATTTGTCTCGTCAAAAAAACCAAATAAAACAAATAATTATAATTTCACCCAACCAAACAAACTCCAATGACTTTTCAAACAGGAGCGTCTCCATGTTATTTTACAAAATACCTTTTTTGTTGGAATATGCAAATGAAGGCACGTTTTTTATCGATGTGTAATTAATATAATTAAAAATACATTATACAAATACCGAAAAACAAACAAACACACACACAGAAAAAAAATTACTTAATTTTTTTAATGCGGTTTGTTGTTCTGGTGGGAGCTGGCAAAATAAAAACCAAAAGAAACAAACTTTTGCACGGAAAAAACGTCCAAAAGAAACCTTTATGAATTTCAATTAAATTGAATACAAATGACCAATATTTTTTGTTGTTGGTGTCTCTTTTTAATTCTATTAACAGTCAATGTCTGTGTTATTGCATGTTGAGTGAAAAAAAAAAAAAACGAAAACAAAACAAAAAAAGGTTGTCTTTTGCATAAAACAAAGCCGCTGAGAAATGTCAAAATGTCAAATGTTTATAAGTCTAAGGCGATTTTAATATTCCTATTTGAGTCTTGAGGAAAGCATTAGTCTAGACTTTTTGTCTATACATGGTGAAGCAAACAGTCAGCCAGCCAGCCTACCCGCCAGTAGCTGGGAAATTAATGCAGAAAATTATTATGGCTGATAAGAAGCCATACTGCTGGTGGTGCGTAACTGCTTAGTTTTCTAAGCTTTTGCCCAGTTTTGCAAAATACTAAAAATAATGATGGTGGCATACTAATTTTCTGCAACATACTGTTCTCTCTCCAAGCGATGAGAAGCAAGAAAACACCACAGCAACAACAACAATATTATGAATTATTAAATAGCAAGAAAATGATATTTTTACCTTCTGCGCTGCGTTGTGAGACAGAAAAATTTTATGCTTATTTAAAATAAAACCACAGGAGTCCATCCATATCCATGGAGCAACTTGGGGTATGTGTCATTTTGAGTAGAGGATGGCCCAGGAGTGCAGTCATACATACATATATATTTGAAAATAATTTACGCTCTCCCGGCATTTGTTGGAGAGTTACATTTCAAATATAAAAATAAAGGTTCAAAAAAAAAAAAAAAAAAAATCACAAAGACATCAACCTTTTTGAGTCTAAGGTTCTTCTTTTTTTCTTCTTTGGCCATCACCACAGCACTGGGCTGGTCTTTTGTTTGGGAATCGGTTGGCTGGCAGGAGAGGTCTCCAAGATTGTCTACAGCCAGTTGTTGCTTTGTGGCTTTGACTTTGTCTTTGTTTTGTCAAAAGTGCGTGCTGTGAATTTTATTAAATATGAAGGAACATTTGTTGTTTGTTAAATACATTTTTATACACAGTTGACATTTTCCCAAAGCCTTGAATTTTAATATAGTTTAATTTTTTTTTTTTTTTGAATATTCAACTAAGCAAAAAAACTGAATCACAACTCCCCTTTCCTTCCCTCTCCCCAGATTTTATATATTCTTAACCTTTGTTCTTTTTTTTTTTTGCAGTAAGAAGGCCAGCTAAAGTGTTTTCTTATCTCCCCAAAACATTTTCACTTAATTGTTAATTATTTTTTCATCTAGTTTTTATTGCTCACCCTCCCCCTACCCTTCCCTCTCTTTTGCTACCACTTAGAAGAGCAAAATCAATATTGTGTTTTTTAATATATATTTTTTATTTATTCTTTGTTTTTTCTTTTGCCACTTAAAATGATCAATTGATCTGCAACGACCCCCAATGCCTTCTCGCCCTCTTTCCCCCCTCCGTCGCTTGAAAGTGTAATAAACAAATAATTAAAAATCCATATGAATAAAAACGAATTATTTTTTATGAGGTATAAAATGATCGATTAAAAAACTATAAAAAAATATATATATTCTTTTCAAAAAGAAAATAGGGAAATTATTTTTAATGATTTTCAAGTGGATTCATCCCATTATCAATCAAAAATTGTTTGCCAGACCAAGTTGGTGGTGGTAGGGGAGGAAGCAAGAAAGGGGAAATACTAAAAAAAAGCCGTAAAACTGAAGAAGGGAATTTTTCTTTGGAAAAGTATAAAAATCAATATTTTGGTCACAGTTCAGATTTTTAAACTCTGACTTGAAAATGCATTTAATAATTCTCATTAACTTTGTGGAATGGGGAATTTTTTTCCAAACAAGAAATAAACTTAGAAAAGTCGAAAATTTTCCCAAAATAAAATGGTTAAGAAAAAAAAAAAAAAAAAAAAACAAATAAAACCAAAAATCTGATTAGAAGGTAATAATTCTCGTTCACTTAGTTTTTAACCAAGTATTCCTTTTTTATTTTTTTAAATGAAAATAAAGAGCTTTCGCTCTTAATTTAAAATTTTCCGAAATAATAATGTTTAAATAATATTCCTTTAATAAACTTGCATTTTTTTTTAATGGCAATAATTCTCATTGACTTTGATGTATAAACAATGTTTTCGTATTTTTAAAGAAAACATAAACATTAGTATTTTCCCACAATTGAACTCTTTGCTAGTTATATAAGGGCAATAATTCTCATTGACTTTAAGGTACAAAAAAAAACTTGGAATTTATATAGAAAATATATATAAATTTTTTCCTAAACCCTATAGAAAAACATTTAATCACTTTTACTTTCCCACATTCGAGCAATTTTTTCTCTCTCCCCCTAAATTGCCAAAAAATTTTCCCAGCTTGGTAGAAATCAATTACTCAAGAAATACGATACATATGGAAAAGAATTCTCCAAGGATAAATCCCCTGTGCAAAAATCGTCAATGAATTCCTATTCTCCTCCCCCCACTGGAACGCAAAATGTTGATGATCTTCAAATAACACAGCCAATTATAAAACATATATTTAACTATGCGAAAAATTGTGTGGCACACACAAAAGGACTTACGGCGGGCAGACGGCGTCACCACACCTTATGCGCCGGTGGCTGGCTGGTGGTTTGGGTGTTAACGAAATAACAACATACTTGAAATCAACAGAAGTGCCAGTAGTAGTGGTTGGAATAACAGCAGCAACAACAACAACAATTATCAACAAAAATACACACCAGAAATACAAACAAATTAACAAGTCCTGAAGTATTGTAAGCCGGATGGATAATGGTTTATTGGGCGAGGGTGAATGAACAACTGAATAGAATTCCTGCAGAATGCTACGCAAATACCCCAAGGACCTGAGCTTAAACGAATGTCAAACTCAAAATGATTATTATAGAACGGAAAAAAAAAGAAAACCATACGCACACACACACAACACAAAGATGATGGGACGTCGTTTGTCTGGATGGGTGGGTGATGGGACGAAATGTCGTCCTTTTACACTTTCACCCTCTAGGCAAAATGCCTGGGTGATGTGTAAGTGACATCAAAAAATCAAATAGAGAAATTATGTTTTTCTTTCTCATCAACATCGTCATCATCCTCATCGTGGAAGGGCAGACAGACAGACAGACGGACCGACCGACCGACAGGAATACCAGACCAGACAATATTTGTAATAACACGGTAAAACACTTAGCGTGGTATAATCCACAATAACAACAAACTTTTGAAGGGGTGTTCTTAGGCAAATACCCAAAAAGTACTTCTTGTACCAATAATTTGATTGTTTTGCCATTTGACAAGAGTGTGAGCGGCGGAGTGAGTGAGCAAGGAGGTTGGTCATCAAACACAAATTACAGAACAGACACTATAATCATTTTTGCTTGAACGTGTGCTGACCGAAAATATAATAACCAGGGGGACAAAAAATGTCTAATGATTATGTACCCCAACCCCAACCAGAAAAATTGTATACCCGAAAGTGACAATTATCTGGTTGAGAAAAACAATGCCATTGAAACATGTTATTATTGTTATTTTTCGGCTCGATTCAGATTTGTTTGGGAGTTTTTGGGAGTTAATTCATAAAGTATGGGAAAATTGAGAGAGTTTTGTATGAATATTAAGCTCTTTAGAGGGAGTAGTTTTAGAGCATTATTTAAGGTAAAATTTGAATAAAAGTACTTTTTCAAATATTTAAAAAAAAATAATTTTTATATAACCTGAAGCACTGTAGGATGGGAGTTATATATTTTCTTTAATTCGGGATTTGAATTAAATTGGCATTAAACTTTTTTATAATTTAAAAAAATTATTTTTTTTAATAAAAAGATCTAAAAATATGACCGAAATGTAATTGTGTGTAAATGTCTGTGTTAAGACAAAAGTAATTAAATGTTTTTTTCTTTTAAACAAAAAACAATTGAAAAAGTTTTTCTTTTTTGCTTTGTTTGTTTTGTTGATGACCATTACTTAACAAATTACTTTGGTGTTTGGAATTTTCTTTTGGCTTCTTCCTGTTTTTTTTTTGTGGGGTAGAGGGAGGAGGAGGGGGGTGTGAATGGTCATTCAATAAAGTGCTTTTTGTGGCAAAGTTATTTCTTAGTTTTAAAAGTTATTTTTGTTTTAGTTTGAATAAAACTTTTTCCGTTTTCTA